TGCCATTGACACACAACCAAGATGGTTTGAAACTAGCTGAATACTATACTAGTGTCATTGTATCTACTTACGACGAAAGCAGCCAGGAATGGACACAGTAAGTTATATCGAATCACTGACTCTAAGGGGATCAAGCGCCACGCTCCAGTTACTTTAGTTCTTTTAGCCGTAGGATAGTTCACAGTATACTCTACCCTGTAACAAAGTAGTTAAAGATTTAGTGGTTACTTACGTCTTTTAGCAGTGATGCAAACGCGCGGTTCATGAAATATTTACACAATATTTTGTTTTGTTAATTGTAAATTTAAAGTTAAATTTATAAATACATTAAATAAATAAATTACTTAATTAATTTAAAACGTGCGTCAAGTTTGTATCGCGTTTGCATCGCGTTTGTATCGCGTTTGCATCGCTGCTAAAAGTCGCCATGTGTACCCGCTTTAAGTTCAATTTCTTTGGGGTAATAACGAAATGGAACCAAATTTTGTAAAGTCAAATAATTGTGTAAAGTACAAACTAGATACGGGGTGGTTGTAATCTGTTTCAATTCATTTTACAAGAAAAGTAAACAAATGGGTTTGGTTAAAATTATAAACCAATCACTCAATAAATGAAATAAGTTACACTTTCACGTATACTTTGAAGATTTCGTCTTGATATCACATCACTTTTTCCAACAACATTCGTTTCACAATTATTCAGGTCATTTTCACGTTAGTCCAAAAGTGAGATTATTTTTCTATTGTAGAAGCATGGATTATAATTAAATTTAAGTTTTTGTAACCGATTAGTAAGATCGAATATTTCAATCACAATCGACCAAGTAGCTAAATGTAACGATTCGGAGATTTTAAAATCAGACTTCGAAAAATTTAAATTTACATTTATAGGTATAAATATACCATGTACTAATTCCATGTATGAAAATAATGTCACTCCGTATCGAATGACATTTTTTAGTTAGTAAACAACAGCAAAATCGCAAAAAACAATTCGTTTCAATGGCGTCCATATAACTCGATTCCCAGGCTTGCCCAACATTTTCCACATATCATCAAATATCATATAATTATTTTTGATACAAGTGCGGAAAGTTAGTCATAATTCACAAGACTGGAGACAAGTGAAAATGACAAATCCGCACGTGTATCAAAGGACGTTTTTTAATACATTTGCGAAAAAGCTACGTTGAAAGTAAAATAAAACAGTATTTTAAAAAACTCATTTTATTTCTTTGTCTGATATAAATTCAGAGTACAATGGCAACTGTTGCCAGTATTCAGATGCATTAAGATTATTATTTTAGTATGGAAAATATTTTGGTATTTTTAAATGTAACCCGTTGTTTTATAAAACACCTATGCAATTTAAACAAATAAGATGTTTGTAAGTAAATATAAGTTTTAATGATGAATGACTTACGTAACAAAGCACATAAATATTAAATAAATATACAACCTTTTTAGTTCTATGTTTAAGACTTGAAACAACAGTAAATTAAAACAATAAATGGAAAAGTAAAATCCAATAATAAAATCCAACTTTCGGCACGATTTGTAGTACAAAAATACCAGGTTTTAAGCCAACTGTATTAAAAAAATATTTTAAAGACGTTCACTACATTTTGTGCTTAATCTTACATGTGGAATACTTAACCAGTGAAATAAAGTGTACTATTATCTTGTGCGCTAATAAATTTGTTAAGGTAATTTTTTTTTGCTCCGGCTATACTGAAGACAATTTTCATGTCTCGCTACTGGATTATATTGCAGTTAGTACGATAATATTTGTTTTTTTTCTTAATGCATTACATTACAAGGCATTGCTTGTAAGATTAAATAGCCTCAATTCAGCCAGTGTCCGTTTTTTTGTTTCATAAACATCATGTAGGGTGTGTTAGACAATACACAGGCAATTTTGTCCGGTGACTCAGAGAGAGTATCGAAGAACGATACATTTTTCATTCTACTAAATTCTAGTGTCCAATAGCATGTCGGTGCAATGGCAGTGATGACATTAATTCATTCAGTCAATCACAACTATCGATGTTGCCTTACGAAAACTACCATCGAAATTACTAAGCATATCTTAATTTTTATCTCGTTTAATTAGCAATTTGGTCTTCAAATTAAATATTCGATACCTCCAATGCGCCGCTAACTTTATTTTCTGGACAACTTCTGTTATTTTTGTAAACAAGCATTTTTATTTACTAATTTCATGCTTCTCAAATTTTGTGAAAAAAAAAGAAAAAAAACAGATTGAAAAGAGAACAAGTCCAAAAATTAAGTTGGCGTAATGTTCATTGAAGGTATCGGTATATACAGGTTGATAATAAAATCACTAGCCACTTTTTTCCTTGTGCACAAGATTCAATAATAGAACACATTAGTGAAATAAAACAAAAAATCTCCATTTTTTTTAATTTAAAATATTATCCCATAATTGCTAAGGCGTGGTTACCTTAAAATAGCAAATAAAATTGAGCGATTAGAGCCGAGTTGTCTATACGCCTAGACGCCAGCACGTCGCGCCGCGCGACCTCAAACCTGCGCTAACGCATCGCGCATCAGTTTAATACTTTGTTGTCTGTCAAATATATGAACTCGCGCGCTGTCCCCACGCCGTTCTTGCTGCTATGGCAACGGCGTCTGGTAAACATCGGGTGTCAATATTGTTCACAATTTTTCGGAAAACTTGGGGACGTCATAACTTACTTATTTGTTAAGTATTTGAAAAAAAAACCATTCCATTATACAGTTTGCTCCTTTTAAAATGGTCAGTGGTTCTTTTATCATCTTGTATAATATTAATAGACTATGCCATCAATGTGCCATCGACTCGCCATTGAAGAGCGGAATACGAAAATATTTCGATGGCTAACAAATCACTTGCACTCACGTTTTATCAGAATACCAAACGTACATATTCCGGCCCTTGACACTCTTTCGACACACAACTAAAGTGATTTAAAATTAGCAGGCTACAGACGCTAGTTTGTTTACTTTTTCTGTATAATGTATTGAAACTATCGAGTATACAACTAGAAATAGAGACGAAATAAGGACCATCCATCCCTGGCAACTCATCAGGTAAATGGGCCTTATATCACTTTAAATATCACATCTCGTTTGCACTGAAATCACAAATTAGAAAGCTGAAATAATACAGCGCCAACAACTATGCCAAAAATAGTCTGTATTTATTGTAATAAAGACAATATCATGCTGTTCCGTTCGATGGTGTGGGAAAAACAGCAAAACTCTCTAATTACAAAACAAACGGAATTACATTTCATCAGTAATTAAATATGAAATATGCAATTTTTAAATTTTCGGCCAGTATAGCAATGCTCAAGTTAAACTGGTCAATTTGAAGTGAAGCAATTGACAAAACCCGTCAATTGTTTCGAATTCAGGTTGGCTAATCGGAGCGCAGTTCTCATGCTGATGATTTGGCAGAATTGTTTTCAAACAAATGAAAGGGCATTTCGTCTCTATTTCTGGTTACATACTCCATTCATAACAAGTACCAATTACCTTACAATAGGGTGTTTAGGTTTTATATTAAGTTCCCATAACCAACGTAGGTAGTTATGTTTCCGTTTCCAGAAAAAGTAGAACGCTATACCTGTGGTCACAATAAAGTACGAATAATAATAACCTCAGTTCGTGGAATTTACATGAAAGTGCGCGAAACAATATTCACCCCCTAGTTTGCCGCCTCAGACAGTTATGTTATTGTTCATGATTATTGGGATCCGTAAAACAGATGGAGTAAAGTGATAACCGAATGGTGGCCAAAAAATGGATGAAGGAACGTGAGGCGTCTTGTTCGACATAGTCAATGTTGCGGGCCGTAGATGGGTAAGACTGGAACACGATCGTGGTGGATGATACAAATAGCGGGAGGCCTATACCCAGTTCAAACTCAAACAATTTTTATCTTATAGGTAAGCAAATTACACGTGAAGTCAAACTCTACTGCTCATTCATAAAGCAGATCCCCTGATAAGAATGAGCAAAAAAATTCTAGTTTTTTGTTTGTTTTGTAATTTTTATTTCAAACATCATAGATCGAGACTACCTGCAAGAGCTAAACTCATATTTGTCATAGTACATGAAGTTGTATAAAATAACCTTTAATATAAAGTTTTTGTTTCACTATAGTTTTAAACCTCGTGAGTGGCAAATTTTGAATATATCTGGAATCTTATTACAGAAGTGTATACATTGCCCCCAAAATGAATGCGCATATATTGCCCCTAAATGAATAAAGCAGTGGGTGAAAGTGCCCTGTGGACAATGGTGATGATGGTCCATTATAACGACCACTTCGCAGCGGTTTACGCCTACGATTTTAGAAATCGTGACCATCACCTACCTGGTTTGCAAAAAAATGGACACTTTGATATCACAAAAAATAATTGGACTTACACCACATAGTAAATATGGGTGACATAGTCATGATTTTTTGCGTTAAGCGAACAAATTTATGGACTTCACAGTATTCCGATAAGTTTCTGATTGGGCACGCGTTAAAGTCCATACACGTAGGGCACAAGCGTTTGAACTCCAATGAATCCGCTTTACAATACATGTTTGACCTAAAAATAAAATCATGGTTTTACTACCAAATTGGTGTAAACAATTATTATAATATTAAATATGACTGCTACTGCGTTTCTTAATATTGTATGAAAATTAATAGTGACGGGGTTATAGCGCTTCTATAAGCGTCTAGTTTAAAGGCGTCCTAAAGGTTCTGAAAAACAAATTAAATAGCAGCGAGCTAAGGCTAACTGTATTACTAACTAAGCTTTGTTAAAATTAGCAAACTATCAAGAGCGTGTGCTACAACCTACGAAGTACCAACATCGATCTACAAAATACGAACTACGACCTACGCTCTACAAAAGACGAATAGCATTAACCTACGAACTACGAGCTACTGTAACGGAACGTTATAACATTGTTAAATTATTTTTGAACAAATGGTTTTTTAAATTTAACAGTTTTAAAAATTGAACACAAATATTATCTTCAACAAATACATCCTATTTTTAAATAATAATTTATTATAAAAACATTAAAACCATGATTTACCATTACAAAATTGGTTAAATCTATGGCGGCTTACGTTGCATTTTCGAATGATGACGGACATAGAGTGGGGGAGAGCGGCAACAGGCGCCGGCGCCAGCCGACTCTGGGGGTCTACTCTCGATCTCCGTCGGACATCCGTCCGAAACAATTACTGTCAAATAAGTAATATTCGACAAAATTAAAAGACAAGTATCAAGTATAAAGCTTCATTCGCATCACGCGTCTTTTCATTTGGTGAAGTATTGCTTATTCAGCCTTACTGCCTAAATTCTTTTTATATATTTATTTTTTTGCAATTGCTACTACGTATGTGGTGCTTCTTTAATTCTCTTTCGCCGTCAGTGGGCTTTCAGAACGGATGCAAAAGGACTGTTACTACCAGTTGGTTGTCCGTTGCAGGAGTCACCTTCGGATTAAGTTACCTTCGGGTTGGCAATTGCTACCTTTGGTGAGCTTCCTTCGGGCTCATACACCTGGAGCTTGACGCCGTCCGGACTAGAACGAAGCTGCTGCTCGCCCTGAGGCCCTTCTTCTGCGCCGGCAAATATACAGGAGAGTACCATACTCGGAAGCGAAAAACCTAAAGTCTTACCACGACCCTTAATAAATTCATGTACCGTTTTATTTTTAAAATTTAAATTTTAAATTGTAATTCGTTTTTTTTATTATAATTAATTCAATTAACGGAATTTTTCGTTTGATTTTCTACCCTCATACGGAAAATAAAACTAGGGAATCGAACCCGATACACTACGACCAACGAACTACCAACAACGATCTACAAAATACGAACTACGTTCCACGAGTCACGAATTATAATATTATTTTTATTATTAGTCTGTACTTACACTTCTCTCGTTACTAAAGAATTAATGGTACGCCACACAAGAGGAAGTAAGAAAAATGGTGTAATAGGCATACACACAATCAACATTGTCATGTAAAACTGATAATAGGCAAAATACATAGCCAACTGAAAATAATAATAAATAAAAATGTGTAGATAATGCTAAACTCTCCTCTTTTTAACCTGATTTATTCAAGGAATAATAATATAACAACCTTAGAATAATAACGCATAGAAACCTAGCCCGCACACGCTAAGTGAGGCAATTTGAAGCGCTCCCAATGGGCCTACACGAGCGCGCGGGCCGTCAGTGCTCAAGGTCAACTTGCAGCAATCAGCTCAAGAATTTTAGCTAAAAATGACGAATGTGCGGTAAATGAGGGTAAAAATACGTCAGACAAACATAAAATAGATACTAACATCACATAATTCCATGGCATCGTTATTTGTATATTTGTGTGCGTGCTGACGAGCGTAGATACAAGTTGCTTACGCCTACATGAATTTGATTTTTGCCTCGCTTGTGACAGTTCGTTTGATATGAAACTATCATTCTATGCCATTGACTTACAAATAAATGGACGACGGGTCTAATACAAACACCACGAAAAAAATGTCCCAAGTCAACCTATTCGAAATTTAAATTGTAATGTCATCGCAGTATCGCGCTGTCAGTAGAACAAATGAAGACTAAAGCGGAGTGTCGCGCTCTGTATACGATTTTAGCGCCTTACAAGTGCGGACACTTTTTAGCGCGGACCCAACGTCCATATAATTGTAAGTCAATGTTCTATGCGTTATTATTCTAAGATAACAACAGAAGGGAGATGTTTGGACATTTGTTACGTCACGACGAATCCTTAATGTGACTGTTACATAATGAAGGCATTAAAATACGAGTGTGGGTTTATAAAACCAGCCGATAGATGAATTTCATAAAAACATCACACAAATGTTTTAATGTCTAATTATGTAGAGCTACATACACTGCTTTATCTATACACATATTATAAGCTCTCTCAGATGTGTTCAGAAACCGCATGTTACGACAGGCACGTTACTGATTAGAGCTATTAGCAATACTTATTAGTAAAATAATGCAAAAAACTTATTCTCACGCATGTCATGCAACCGTAGTTTTTTATGCTTCGTAGACAAATTAACGTCGGTCCCATCTATCATATCGTTCATTGACTTACAAATAAATGGACGACGGGTCTAATACAAAAACCACGAAAAAAATGTCCCAAGTCAACCTATTTAAACGTAGTGACATGTAAAGGAATATGAAAAAGCTAAAACGTTGAATTTAAATTGTAATGTCATCGCAGTATCGCGCTGTCAGTAGAACAAATGAAGACTAAAGCGGAGTTTGACGCTCTGTATTGTTTGACTGTAACACTTTTTAGCGCGGACCCGACGTCCATATAATTGTAAGTCAATGATATCGTTCGTAAGAAAGTGGCGTGTGAGATTTGTCAAAATTGTTTGCTATTGACATTTCATTTCGAATAAAACTTCATCTCGACTGATGTTAGAATTGAGGTCGAATCAAATTGTTTTGTTTTTCAGAGATGTTCGAAATTTGAACGTAATAATAAAATCGAATTCGATGTTATTATGAAGCAATAATAACATTTTCACAGATAAGAAATTTGTTCTAATAAAACAGTTTATCTTTATGCTGGTCGTGATTTGCGGTTTTTTAACACATCATAGAGGGTTTATGATATATGTGTAGATAAAGGTTATAATGAAAGTAAGATGTTTTTTATCATACCTAGTGACGGGAAAAACAAATCATACGTTTGTTTGGTGGTAAGCGACACGTCTGTCCATAGCAGTGGCAGTGCCACTCAGAGCTTTACATCGCAAAGGGCATTTGAGGTGCACTACCACTATGGAAACATTTTCACAAGTTCTAAAAAGTAGAGTATTTAAGTGACGGGACGAATAAGTCGCGCACCTGATGGTAAGCTATACGCCTGTCCAAAACATTTACAGTGCCATTCAGAGCTTTAAATCGCAATCTTAGAGGCACTGCCACTGCGCCTGTCACTGATACAAGTTGACAAGTCCCATGTGCCTGTAATTTCACCAGCACTCTTACCGTTCTAAACCGAAACACAGTAATGTCAGTGCTACCACCACCACTGCTTGGCGGCAGAGACAGGTAATGTGGCAGTATATCCCGGACAACTCTTTCACAAGGAGCTCTACTACTATTAGAGTATCTCTCTCTTCTATAAAGAGGGTATTAATTACATACCTTAGGGCCATAGTACTCGTAGATAACGGAAAGGGGTTGAAACGTTAGTAGATTTCTATATCCTGCCCAGTTGTAGTATAGTATCTGAAAAAAATTGTCGACTAACTTTAGGCCGCATTTATTCGCGCGGTCGCCGCGTGGTCGAAGAGCGGAGTCCGCGTCGCGGCCGCGCAGCGACCGCGTGCGTCTAACTGTCATGACAAAATACGTTTATTCTCAATAGTTCTGTTATACAGTTCTGTTGACAGAACAACTGATACTTTTTTCCCATTTGTTAATAGTTTTCGTCACACAACTACTGAGAAGAATCTCTAATACGAGACGGCCAGCACGGCGGCAGCGCGGCGACCGCGCGGTTGTATTATTCAGAGGAATGTAAATGTTGTTGCCTAGTAAATATAATTCAGATTCGCCATTAATGTATATGAAGGCGTGGTAACTGGGTGGTCGCGGCACCGCAGCCGCGCAAAAACTTTCGCCTCGTGTAACTGGGCGCTTGGTCTTAGTTTTAAATTTGTATTAAATTGATATTCAATTACTTTTTGTGAAATTACTCCACTTGTTTATTATAATTATTAATACAAAGATTGAACACTCAGAAAAAATTCCAAACCGTGCCAGACGCTATAGTCTAGGTTATTAATCTGCCTTAGATTCAAATGGAAATTGATTGTTATAACGATATCCTAATTTGACACTTAAGGCAGTCTCCGATTGGGGCGAAGCCAATCTTGTCAAATTGAATGCTACCAAAACGCAGGCGTGTCTTTTCTCCACTAAACGGAATCCCTTTCACATGACTCCGACTTTTCGTGATATATCCATACCGATAGCCGACCGTCTTCACCTACTTGGAATGGACCTGTCGTCTAATCTGAACTTCAACAGATACATTGAACCCATGGCCAAAAATGCAGCCAAGAAGCTTGGCATCCTTTCCAAAGTGAGGCGTTACTTCACACCGGGACAGTTGTTTCAGCTGTACCAAGCACAAGTCCGGTCGTGTATGGAGGACTGCTGCCACTTATGGGATGGCTCTGCTAAATACCAACTGGCCACCTTGGATTCAATAGACAAGCGTGCTAAGAGGCTTATAGGTGACTCGGAATTAGTAGAGGCGAAGCTGCAGAGCCTTGAACACCGCCGTAAAGTTGCCTGCTTATCGGTATTCTATAGGATATATCACTGAGAGTGTGCGATGGAATTGCATAATTTGATTCCACCCTCCCTTTCCATCATCGGGAGACTAGACGTGGGCAGGGGTTCAACCCCTACGTTGTGGATATTTCCCGGATTTGCACGAAACGTTTCGCTTCCATATTTGTTTTGAATAGGCATTATTTAGGTGTGCAGTTCTCGACCTCATCGTCACTTTCCATCAGTGAGATGGAGGTCAAATACCCACTCATTTTTTTATAAAAATAGAGGTCCCAAACTCGATTCCCGGGCCGGGAGAAATATTTGTATGGCCTACATTTTTTTCGTTCGTGAGTTTGGATGTAATTTGCGGTTGTCAAAAAAAGTCGCGAGAAAAAAATTTCATTAGTTCTGTCAACTGAACTGGACAACTGGACGTAGTTAAATAAAAAGGATCCAATCACCAAAATTATCAAATGAATTATATGTACCAAACGGTTCCTAAAGTCTAACCTCTAAGATCAGCAAAAAATCCAAAATATAAACTAATAAACATCTCTGGAGATACATGACATTTGTACGGTAGAGGTTGAGATGGTGGCACTTTCCAAGTTTCCAAGTTTTTTGCCCTCGTTTTTCCATGGATAAATCCCGAAAGAAGCTGATCTTTTACTGAATGTACTTACTTGTCTGCCGTTCACATTACATGTTGGTTGATCCTCGGTAATGAAATACGGACCGTCGTGAAGCGCGTAAGCGTCCAATATTACGTTATTCCGCAATAAACTTAAAAAAAAACACTTTATAAAGATAATAACAATAATAATAAATATTAGACAACATTGCAACTGCCTCTACCATTATAGTGATCAGAATTGAGGGGTTAATTTTCCTAAATTTTGAACGTTTTCTTAGTATGGCCATGCCCATTTCGTGATGGTAAGCTACACGCCTGTCCATAACAGTTACAGTGCCATTCAGAGCTTTAAATTGCTAAGATCTAAGGGGCGCTACCACTGCGCCCGTCACCATGAGACAGATCTTGACAAGTCCCATGTGCCTGTAATTTCACCAATATATATATCAATGCATGTAAAATTTAGACGACGAATAAATTTAATATACCCAGGCATAATATTCAGTTTCACATATTGCAGTAATTACAATGTTTGTACGGACTTACAAAAGTAATTGTTCTCTCAAACAGAGAAATATACCTAAGATTGGTGAAATAAATAAGATACACGGTGTCCAGTGTCGGAGTATCTTTAAAAAAATTCAATACTACTCTAGATCCTGGGAAGATATGCATCTTAGCAGTTATTATGTTAAAGAACAAGATGTCAAACAATAGCAACCACCAATGTTTCACAACATCAATAGTTTCTATTGTTTGTCTTATCTTGTACTGTGTGAAAGAGATAGCCTTTAATGCTTTCTATGCTGTAAGAAAAGAAAGCAGTTACTTGTTTCTACGGCGAATATTTATGTGCAAAGCACTCTTGTAAGTCGCACCAGAAACACGAGTACAATATTATTTTTGAGATAATAATTAAAATAAATGTATTATTTCCTGTTAAGCAAATACTAACAAGAAATAATAACTTGTGGCCAATGTACTCAAATATATCAATCACAGACATGTTCAAATATAATCAGTTCCGACAAGTACCGGGATTTATAGAAGGGAATGTCCACATTATTCTTTACGTTACTCGAGTTGTAGGTCATGTAACTCCCTCAACTCCGATCAATGTTTATAACTGTCTCCATGGCCGAACGGTTAACGGCTAGTCTGCCACGCAAAGGTCCTGGGTTGAATTCCCAGGGCGGGAGAGATATTTGTATAACCTACATTTATTTCCCTCGTGAGTACGGGTGTCATATTTGATGTTGCCTATGTGTGGGTGTCCATTACGCGATACAGGGTTTCCCTAATGTTAAGTTCACGAATCTTTCACTTGCGTTCCGGCACCTTGCCCTGGGTTTGGTTGTAGTGGACGCGTGGACGCTGCTGTGCTTTGATTGGCCAGTGGTGCTGCCCTTCGCAAACGTTCCCTGTTGCTTGCGTAGAAATATCAAGCTTGCTAGATATCAAACATACGCAAGGCTAAGAAATCCAACGTAAAGCATGCGGCTGGCGCAAGCGAGCGCGTACGCGACACAACCTTGCGTATGCGCGAAGCGCGTCTCGCGAGCAAGCGAAAAACGCAAAGAACCACGCATAAAGCGCGACTACGAGAGTGAGTTTTTTTTATTATATCAAGTGACGGGACGAACAAGACATGCGTCCGATTGTAAGCTACACGCCTGTCCATAACAGTAGCGCGATTCACGTAATTTCAAGCTATCAAAATATCGTTAAAATTACATAGTCGTTCGATCGAAGTCCTATCCAAAATGGGTATGCACGTATCACTTGAACGAACGTTGATATGAGTAGGATCGAAACTTACAACCAATGAACGACATCTTGGATTGTGAAATTTGGCATTTACTCGTCGAAAGTCTATTGAAAGAACTGTCAAAATTTTAGAATCGTATGACTTGTCGTTTAGAGTCGATTTAAGTTCGATACGTATACCAGAATAAGCTTTAACGACATTTGGATCGAACGACTTTAAAATTGGACTCGTTGTCGTTCACTGTCACACGTGAATACGACAAAGCAGTTCAACGACTAAATCGCTACGATATCGTAACGGTTTGATTACGTGTGTCACCCCCCAGTTGCAATGCCATTCAGAGCTTTATATCGCAAAGATCACAAGCCTTTCGCAAATGTATACACATCTGTACGTTTCACTCAGATATGACAGCAATGTTGCGGTAGGTGACATAAGGGAGGACGTGTTATTCTGAGTCGTACCTCCAAAGGCCGTAGTATCTGTCATTTACGCCGTAGGGCTGGTGGTTCACAAGCATAAAAGTGATAAGGCTTCGGTCTCGGTTTGAAAACCGATGTGGTTTGAAATAGCGGCGGCTGTGAAAATAAATAAAAAACAAAAATTATTAACATCCAATCATTTAAAAGTACTAAATATAGGTAATTACTAAGGCTTAATAATTATAATCTCTGTCTCTAAAGATTTTTTACATTTCGATTACAGATTCGAGTCTGATGTTTTTAATCTCGGGAAAAATCGAGACTTTGAAGAGTTAAATCACTTAAGAGGGAGCAGGGGAAAAATTCTAATCTTCGATTTGATTTGAGAGGGGTATATCCACTTTAAAGTTAAAAATAAAAGTATGAGTAACTACACGATATATTCAAGCATAGACAATACTCAGAAACATAAAACAATAAAGTTTCCTCGATAGATAAAAATCACGAAATGAAATCTAATTTTCACATTTTTTCGATTCATCCTCGAAAGGCTACAGGTTATTAGGACAAAAATTAGATAATTAATTATATTTATGCATGATCGACAACTGCTACTACGGATTTATTTTTAATCCCTTTAGTTTTAGAGTTATTCCGCTAAAACGAATTTGGTACTTTTAATGCGCAAAATTCAACATCTCCTGTCGCATGTCACGCGAACTTCAGGCATATATTTGTTTCACAAATTTGGGCGGAGCCAACGTCAAAACATTTTTGGCGTGCTCCCTCTTAATAGTCTATACTACCTCAAATGGTTTTGGTTGATTCCATATAAAAGTGAATGTGTTGGAATCTATCACTTTGAAAAAACTATTTAGTAAAATTGAGGACATACACTGATAACGCGATTTCTAAAAATTTTTACAATAGAAAAATACACAACCTTGCCTTGAAATTTTAAAAGAAAACTGCTGTATTTAATAGGTACTTTACATATAACATTCTGTGACGGAAGCAAAATTAACCGTATTACTACGGGAAAAATTGGAATTCGAGCTGAGATTGTGTCGACTCTTAATTAAAAAGCATTAAAATCTACTAAACCAACAGGCATTTTTATTCTTGTTGCATCGACATGGCAACGAAATAGACTGGAGTTTAGTAGGTATAACCTGTGAAGGTAGAAGAAAGTTAGTAACAAACTCGGGTTCTCTCTGTCTAAAACTGTAGTAAACGCCCTTTTGTTTCTTACGTATCCACTATAAAAATTAAAAAATAACCTTAGTATGCAATTTTTTCATTTTACAATTTGAGTTAATAAAAGTAGGTAATAAACTATATTCAAAACATGGTTTGAGTGTTTAAATGCCTATAAATATGGTAATCTACATTTGAAATAGTCTCGAAAGTCTCGTTTTTTCCGGAAGTTCCGGGACCGCACCGAATCTCCATATTTTTTTCCCGGCACGCAGAAATGCAGCGAAATTGAACGCCGCATTCTTGACTAAATCGGCTTGCTGACTGAAAACAGACTTCCTCAAAATAGACTACTTATTACAATCGCCATGTCTAAGGTATTTATTTATTTTATTATGAATGAAAAATAACAGTACAAATCTAGTAACAAACTAGCAGTTTATCTGACTGTTACTTATTGAAAGGTATCAAAATACGAGCGTGGGTTAAAAACATCACACCAGTGCTTTAATGCCTAATTATGTACAATTACATGCACTGCTTTATCTATACAAATATTATAAGCTCTCTATGATGTGTTCAGGAACTGCATGTTACGACTGGCAAAATGGTGGCAAATAAAAAAACTATTCTCACGCATATCACGCAAACGTAGTTGTTTTTAAATTCATATGCAAACTAGAGCCCCAGCTATCATATCGATCGATATCAAGTAACGTGTGAAATTTGTCAAAATTGTTTGCTATTGACGTTTCATTTCGAATTAAACTTCACCTCGACTGATATTGTTAAATATTACAAAGGCATACGATAAGGTTTAACACCACATTTTATTAAACAAATTGCATGCGGTAGGAATAAGAGGTATTGCATATGATTGGTTTAAATCGTATTTACAAAACAGGCAACAGATAGTAGAAATAAAATATTTTGACTATAAAACCTGACCGATTTCTAATATTTCATCTGACATTCAATTAATTCGTCATTCAATCCCACAAGGTTCCGTACTCGGGTGTTTTTTATATTTAATGTACATAAATGACCTGCCAAAATCAATAAACCAAACGTGCGTACTATTCGCTGATGATATTTCATTTCTCTCTCCTTACTCAACGATGATAATCTAGATCTAAACACAACTTTGAAACTTGCATTAGGTGATGTCGTAAATTCGCTAAATGACCATAATTTAGAAATAAACTTTACAAAAACAAAATAATGCAATTCAGACTGTATCAAAAACCTCCATTGACTATAGACTTCACCTACAAGGACAACAATGTAGAAAGTGTTAACACTCACGTTATTGGGGTTTGACATAGATACGAACATTAATTGGAAAGCTAGATAGCACTGAAATTATCTAGATTTACAACGCATGCGCGAGTAGGTTCACTATTAATCCTAGATAAAAAGTATAAGTAGTGTAAGTTAAAAAGTGTGTATGAATCATAAAACATTTAAAGAATACCGATAGCTGTAAACTATATTTTAAGAATTTAGAAATAATAACATTACCATCTATGTACTTTCTAGAAATTGCCAAATTTGTAACAAAATATCCAAATTTTTACACAAAACAGGGGGATCTATCACGTCGCTTTCCCACAAGATACCAAAACAAATTAATCAAGCAAACATCGAAAATGGAAATATATAGATCCACACCCCTAGCTAGTCAATTAAAATTTTCTATAAAATACCTGAAAACGTCAAAATCATCATCTGTCATCATTTATAAATAAACTAAAAGCCCTGCTAATAAAAAAAACTTATTATACAATTGGTGAATATTTGAATGATCAGACAATAACTGCATAAATATTAACATACATTAATTTTTATCACGTTTTTGACATAATAAAATTATCATAATTTACGTACATTTGTTAGGACTTTTTTTTCTTTTTGTGTTAATAATTCATTTTCTTCAAGCATTATTTTGTCCAATTTTGGCCATAAATTAATTAATTGAATGATAAAAAAATTTGTCACTTATTATTCTTAATGTTAATTATTGTGATATAAATTTTCATATTGGTTTTGATAAATTTCATAATAATTGTAATAATTAATGACACAGCTTGTGTACGAGATTAATAATAAGTTAGTTATTATCATTGTAGTGCCCTTACAGGGTTCATGTGCTGGAATACTATTAAGTAACACCTCTGTTAATCACATAACACAATGAATAAATGAATTACTGAAATTCAGGTCGAATCAAATTGTTTTGTTTATCAGAGATGTTCGAAATTTGAATGTAATAAAAATCGAATTTCATGTTATTATGAAGTAATAATAACATTTTCACAGATAAGAAATTTGTTCTAATAAAACAGTTTATCTTTATGCTGCTCGTAATTTGCGGTTGTTGGACACATCATAGAGGGCTTCTGATACGTGTAGGTATAGATATAGTATTATTACTAATATATACACAATTATAAACAACATAATCCACGAACTACTATTAAATCATATAGTATCTTCAATTCATTTATACGTCCCACTGCTAGGCACAGTTTTCTCTGAGACGCGGATTCTAGGCCATAGTTCGCCATAAACCACCAGAAACCGATACCTACCGTTCTGACGCGTCATGACACGATACATCAGACAAATCCAAATCCAGCTTTACAAATAACCCGGTATAGTAATTGAAAAACAGGGCACTTCCAGTTCGTATTTACTTTTCCGTCTAATTGTAAACTCATCATTATATCAGCCGGAAGACGTCCACTGCAGAACATAGTCCTCTCCCAAAGATTTCCAGACTAGCCCATCGGACGCGACGTGCATCTATCGGTTGCCCGCCCTTACCAGGTCTAGTAGGGGGTCGTCCCACTGAACGCCTTCCGGTTCGTGGTCTCCATTCCAGGAACCTTTCTGCTCCAACAGCCCTTAGTTCTACGAGCTATGTGCCCTGCCCAATGCCACTTCAACTTGCTAAGCCTTTAAGCTACGTCGGTGAGTTTCGTTCTTCTACGGCTCTCCTCATTTCTGATTGGATCACGTAGAGAAATGTCGAGCATTGCTCGCTCCACAGCTCGTTGAGGGACTTTGAGCTTTTTTATGAGGCCCCATAGTAAGTGACCACGTCTCAGAGCCGTAGGTCATGCCTGGCAATTGTAAACTGTAACGCAAAAAATCCAAAATTACCGCATCAACTTGACCCATTCTCTCTCGTGCGAAGGCTGGCGAGGGGCAGGTTTGCCAATTGGTCTTCCAATGAAATGTACATGGTTATCTTGAAAGCGCTTTGTCACTTCAAAATAATCTTTATAGTCGTCGAGAATCGTATCTGGTGCGTGAATTTTGCAAAACAGGACATTGTTGTGTTCAGGCAACTGAAATTTTTTTCTGTATTAATATTCATGCTAAAGATTTTTTTTCGTGATACCTAGTGACGGGAAAGCAACACGCCTGTCCATAACAGTTGTTTAAAATCACAAAGATCTGAGGGGCACTGCCACTGCGCCTGTCACGCTAAGACATAAGTTGACAAGCCCCGTGTGCCTGTAATTTCACCGGCGGCGGAAATAGGGAAGGTGGCAGTACTTCCCTGAACGAGCTCTTTCACAAGGAACATTACTGATACTATTATACGTAAATGTAAGGCTGTATATTGGAGGCTTAATCATTTCTTCGACAAACCTTTGAGCTCCCCAATCATACATACTAAGTACTGTAGTGTAAGCTCTACTCTATGAGTAGAAATACTGGCTGAATGAATATAGGTTTGCGTTTAGAATGGTATTAAAAAACTAAGATGTAAAAAAAAGAACATCTCGGTTGTTCTAGATGAGGCTTCGATCAGTAAAGATGAAATATATATTTATTCATGGAAATATCCCAGTTTTATGTTTAAAAGTACCTCTACGCAAGCCCAAGTCTACATTCCCTGTTATAAGTGGTGGAGGCGCTTACAAGCAGCGTACGATCGCCTTACGTGGAAATTCCGATGTGGAAAAATTTTATATGATTTTACGCTTAGAATAATAACGCATAGAAACCTAGTCCGCACACGCTAAGTGAGGCAAATTGAAGCGCGCCAAAAGAGCCTACACGAGCGAGCGAGCCTTCAGTGCTCAAGGTCAACTTGCACCGCGAACAGATCAAGAATTTTAGCTAAAAATTACGAAATGTGCGGTAAATTAGTGTAAAAATACGTCAGGCAAACATAAAATAGATACTAACATCACATTCCACAAGGAAATAACACGTTTCAACTTGTATTTTTATATAAATATTCACATACCTAAAATTAACCTGCTACTAAAACTAGCCTACATGAATTTCATTTTTGCCTCACTTATGACAGTTCGTTTGATATGAAACTATCATTCTATGCGTTATTATTCTAAGATTTCACGAAAAATCTCCAACGAGAAGAAGAGGCAACTTATAAGGTCGTAATTTGTATTTTATTTTAATTTTATAAATTTGTTGTTGTGCTTTTATGCGCTTCCTAGTGAAAAGGGGCAAGATAGAAAAGTACAAAATTAATCGTATACACCAAAACCACAAAAGTTTATTGGCTTAAATGATGTAGATGAATTTCTGAACTATTTTGAGGCGATCAGCGTGATATATAACTGGTCAGATGGGCAAAAGAGGTATGTGATTGCGACGTATCTGGAAGGGCCAGCTCTTCAGTGGTACAAAACTCATTTTTCCTCATATGCGACGTATGATATCGGTGCGCAAAAATTAAAAGAGCAGTTCCCCTCACAGGTCCATTATGCCCCAAGAGTTCTACTATAGGCGGCAGATGCCTAATGAGCCGCTCTTGAGCTATTTTTATAATCTGGAAAACTTGGCGACAAAGGCAAAGATACAGGACGATGTGAAGTTTATACAACATTACCTTAAAGTCTTTAGCTCCCAAGTATCAATGCGTGCTTGCTAGCAAGTTGTTCGCGTCTACAGACGAGTTGAGAGAAACGATTATACAGATGGAGGATGTATTTAATCGAGAATAAAACTTAGAACAACAGAGTTCGATACTCCGTTACCGGTACGTATTTCGAAAGAACACTCTCAATGTTGGCAAGCACAAGGAGATCCGTCACCGGTTGGTGGACCCATCTCTGCTTATTCAGATTATCACACACAGACTCCGGTCACGGCCGTTGTTCCATTTGACGTGCAGCGAAATACGCCACACGGAAGATACAATTTGAAACCTCAGCAAGTATATTCGCATGCACAAGGAAGTGGTTCTTCGACAGGATACCCCCCAACGTCGATTTTATCAAGGCGCAGCTGGTCATTCAAGAGACGATCACCGATAGGTAGCCGGGATGGTCAGACGTGGAATGCGAAGCCGGCGTTCTCGAAACAAAAATTGTGTATAGTTGATAATTGTGATGTAGGTAGAGCATCCTTTATAACCATTTGTATAAATAATGTAGAATGCGATGCGTTGGTGGATACTGGTGGTTCCGTTTCAATAATCTCTAAATTTTTTTGCAGATAAATTACATTGGCAGATTGAAAAAACGCCGAATTTTCCTTTGCGTACAGTTGGTGGAACGCGAATAATACTGCAGGCGTCCACCAAAGTTTCGTTGACAATCCAGGGAAACAAATATCTATAAAGGCTGCTTGTTGTGGATGACGATGAAGAGCTCCTTATTTTAGGACAAGACTTCTTGATGGTAAACAGTGCCGTAATTGATTTTGCAGCGAGAATAACTTTAAAGAATAATGTTGAAGTTCCCTTCAATTCTGTCTCTGATGTCATGTAAAAGAAAAAGAATTGTTGTTCTATCGAGCCAATTTCAAAAAGTCATAAAAAGTTTTCATTAAACAAGTCCGAATATTTATATTTTGTTAATCAGTTGGAAGCGAATAGTGACCACATGTTTAATATCTCGAATATGAAAAAGACAGAATTTAATATTGATAACTCTTTGCAGGAGAAAAGGCGGGATGAATTGAATCAGTTATTATTAGAATTCCGCGACACGTTTTCTTTTGCGCCAGTTGAACTAGGGTGTTATAAGCAGTTATTGGTTGAAATCAAAACTACTGATGGGGAACCGGTGCATAAAATGCTATATCGTGTCAGCCTTAAACAGCGACAAATTATTGAGGAACAAGTGGAAGAAATGTTGAAGTATGGGATAATTCAGAAATCGAAAAATCCAAATGCTCCACCGGTAGTTTTGGTGGATAAACCTGAAGGGCCGCCGAGATTTTGTATTGATTATAGGGCTTGAATAAAAACATTAAAAACGATTCATACCCTATTCCGAAAGTAGATGATTTGTTAAGTTGTTTATAGCATGCAAGGTATTTTGCAGATTTAGATATGAACTCTGGGTATTGTTAATTAGATTTAGGAGAAGGGAAGGAAAAAACTGCCTTTGTTACACATACGGGGCCATATGAGTTCAATTTGTTACCATTCGTCTTGAAAACAAGTCAAGCGGTGTTTCAAAGGGCGATGGATAAGGTATTGGCCGGAATTAAGTATCGTAATGTGATAGTTTATGTGGATAATTTATTTAAAATTGCATTAAAAGAGGTTTTGATTCGATTGCAAAATGCGCATTTGACTTTAAAAGCATCTAAGTGTCGTTTCGGTTTTCAAAAGGTGACTGTTCTAGGACATGAAGTGTCGGCCGAGGGTATTGGACAGGATAGCAAGAAAGTTGCGGCTATGAAAGAGATAAATCCCCCACGTAATCTGACGGAAGTGAGAGCGGTTTTAGGATTGTTCTCTTATTATCGAAAATTTATTGATAGTTTTGCACTTCCCATCACGAATTTGGCGAAAAAGGACAAGGTGTTTATTTAGACGAATGAAGCGCAGGAGGCATTTGAGGTGTTAAAAGATTGGATTTGCAAAAGGGCCTGCTCTGGGGCATTACTCGTCGAATAGTAAACAGGTGACGCGGTTGTGTGTGGATAGCAGTGGATATACAGTTGGATGTTGTTTAGTGTAGGGAATGGAAGAGATGAAGCCTATAGCATAAGCCTCGAGGAAGTTAAGGGATGCAGAAAAGAAATATTCTGTTACGGAAAAGGAGTGTTTAGCACTTATAATGGGCGTTGAATTATTTTAAAAGTTATTTATGGGGATTTCGATTTCAGGTTGTTACAGACCATCGGGCGTGTGTGTGGTTAAAAGTGATATAAGGCCCATTTACCTAATGAGTTGCCAGGGTTGGATGGCCCTTATTTCGTCTCTATTTCTAGATATATACGCAATGATACAACCTCAAATGGCTTTTGTTGATTCCGCATAGTAGTGAAAGTGTTGAACGAATCACTTTGGAAAAAATATATAGTAAAATTCCAATTCAAATTTTTTTATATCCTCATATATATTGATTACTATACTGTGTAAAAACACGATTGTTAAAAATTTTAACGATACAAAAAAATCTCCGTATTCACCAATTATTATTTTTACGTCAACTGAACTAAATAGGACGCGTAGACTATACAGGGTGGAAATTTATAATGCCACCTGGAGAGAAAGTACTCTAACGTTTAACGGTTACGACTATTTCTATTAAAATTATTGTATTTATTGTTCTCTGTTCATCGTTACGTCACATTTCATATTTTTTGTAATAATAGAGCAGATTGAAAACATCTTACCGTTGCCCTCTCGATCTCTAAGTCCAAACCAATCTTCACCATAGTCGTCATGAGACCGAGCTTGTATTCGTCAGCCCAAAGCGCGTCTCCATCGTCAGTAAAAGCTAACACGAAATCGATACGTTTCAAACAGCCTTGAAACATACCGGTGTAAGGTGCTCGCTAAAATTAAAAAGAAATAGAAATAGACTACAAAAAATCTGTTGCAATTATTGTTAGTAATGACGGGTTTGTGAGTCCTTCATATGCGCTTTTCGCTTGCTTGCGATGGCTGACGGCGTAGAAATCTGCCTTCAAGGCATTCACGAGTTTCCCGCTTTGTGTTGCTGAGAGAACTTGCGCTCATCATCAATCATTTATTTCTTGAAACACAGTACACATGCATTTTATAATAATAATAATACTGATAATAAAAGTAATAATAACATAAGGATTTGAAACTAAATACATACAATATATAGAGTACAAAGCGTATGTACTGTGCTGCCAAGGAAACCGTGACCCACTCAGTTTGTTGTCGTCTCACATTCAAGTGTTATAACGCTGATTTTCAGCGGATCCGGTAAAATAGCACACGTGACACAGAACATTGTAGGCGACACTAAAGATTTTGGATGACACAAGCACATAATTATATTAATTCAAACACAAAAACATGAACAGTCTATTCCATTAAAGTACAATTAATGTGCTTACCATTTATTAGCCTTGCCTTTGTCTGAATTGTCGACACTCTCGAACCATCTGCTGCTCTGTGATTGGCCAGTGGTCCTCACAAAACTCGCAAACGTTGCTGCTTGCTTGGATATATCAAGCTTGCTAAATATCAAACTCACGCCACGCAAAAAAATCCAATGCTAAGCAAGCGGCCGGCGCAAGCGAGCGACTCGTGAACAGTCCTACCTGATCGCACAAGACAGATCTTTGCGTATGCGCGAAACGAGTCACGTAAGCATGCGAAAAACCCAAGTGAAAGACTCTTAGGGTCGTATTCCAGAACTCTACTTAATGCTCAAGTCATGTCTTGAGTATGATTTAAAGCACTAGAAATCATACTCAAGTCCTTGTCATGAGGGACATATTTCCAGTGCCTGAAATCGTACTCAAGTCCTGACTTGAGCATTGTGTAGAGTTCTGGAATACGACTCTTAAACCATAAGACAGAGTAAAATGACATTTGTAGGGTTGCCAGTTTTCATAAAATTGTGATGTAGTTGTTGTCGTCGACAGTTTCATCGACAGATAGTGACAGAAATTTGACGTTCTCATGATTACTAATTGCGTTATTACTTCATTCTTATTTTGACAGTTCGTCTACTATTGTCGAAATCAATTTTTATCCATGTACATTTTAACAAGAACAGGCCGATTTGATTATCTACAATGAATTAAAACGGAAATCTAAACTTTTCTCTTTGTATTTTTAATTGACGTAGTTCTAAATGCAATGTAGTATATACGAACTTACAAAATTGACAATTCAAATGAACTTGTACCCATCAGGTGGACGGAATAATGGGCCGATGATGATTGAAATAAAACAAGTACGGCTAATTATTGCATAAACGTAACCAACATTCAGTCGATAGTCGATAGAATATTTACCAACTGCAATCACTAGCTTGCTGCAAGCGTCCAACACTTTTTCGCAAAGAACTGTCATTTTACTCCATCTTTAAAAAAGACAGACAGCTTTTTTTTTTTTTTTTTTTTTTTTTTTTTTTTTTTATGACATTAAGTAACGGGACGAACAAGTCGTGTGCCTGATGGTAAGCTACACGCCTGCCCATAACAGTTGCAGTGCCACCAAGAGCTTTAAATTACAAAGA